TATAACTTTTATTAATGAGCGCGGCGGACATATTTCTGGCCTAATTACCAGGGTGCACCCATAAGCCAATTTCCCATTCCGTCGGCATATTGATTTTAGCGCCCCCGCGCGAGTAAGTGAACCAAGCCAGAGCGGAACAAATTGTCTCCAACAATAACAATCCCGAGCATCCATTCGCCAAACGTTATGCAACGTTGTTGAAAAGTCTTATTGGTATATAGTACATGTATTAGAAATCAGCCCGCCTCTGAGGGCGCCCCGTATTTCCCCTAGTAATGAGGCGACGGCGAAAGCACGATGCGACTGCACAGCGCAACGGCTAAAGGGCATGATGCGTCGACGGCACGACGCGACGGTAAGACGCAACAGGAACTCGGGGCCGTCGCGTCGTGGTGTCGGGGCCGGCGATGGGACGACGCGGCGTAATACGGGCGATTCACAATAGCGCACCACGAAGAGTTTGCAACGCGTTGACCACTCACAATCCGCGAAATCTGTCGACCCCGTGCGCGTTTGAAAAGAGTCGACAGATTTCGCGCATTTTGATTGGTCAACGCGTCGCAAACTCTTGGAGGCGCGCTATTGTGAATTGCCCGTATTTTGTCACCTTTCTTTGACACAGTAAAATGAAAAAAAAAATGAAATGAAAATATGAAATATACTGTGAAATTGACACTGACTCTTACCCATCTCTTCGCAGTGCAGTGCTGCAACAAGGCTTCCGTCGACCAAACGCTGAACTAAATGGCTGGACGGGTTCGGCTGAATCATTACAGTTCATGGTCGCACCACTGGATCTGAAGGGCCATGTGTTCGCCATGTCCAGCAGCGAGTCCGGCTTGTCCGTGCTCCGAGGATAGACCGCTGACCTCAGGACAAATTGCAACATGCTGGGGTTTCCGCAGGCCTGTCTTCAATACCATTTGACGTTATACAAGAAGAGGCAGCTGCCCTGACTTTCTCTTTTTATTCTGACAACAAATTTAGTTATGGTTGCAGACCAGCAAATTAAAACCGTCACATAGACAGCAATTCAATTTTATTGGAAGGCTTCGGGGATACGAGAATAAACCGCACAAGCTGTAACAATGAATAGGTTGACATGAGGGTCCAGACGATTTCGAAGGAACGATTTAGATAATAAAAAAGAACCCCTTTCAGTGGAGGCTCGAGTGGCATGCGAAAATGCTATTTGATTGAACACATTTCCTTCCAGCTCGCATTGTTCTAAGTTTCAGTCGGGAGGATTGAAGCTTCACTCAACTGTATTGTCACTCTCAGATTTTATGAAGTGCGCACTCTCTAAATTCAAAGAGCGACAATACAAATGTGCGTGGTTGCTAGGTGACAAAGCGCCTCTAAAGAAAAGAAAGTACATGCATACGTACAATCACAAACAGTGGCCTTCGTGTAATACAGTGTTTGGCTCCCCACCAACTTTTTGAATTTTCGTGGCCAGGCAATTTTGGGACCTGGGTCATTCCCACCTCCCACCCGCCGGCACGGATTTACGCCGCTGCTCTCAATAACGTGTGAAGATAGCGTATATCATGACAAGCACAACTCATATTCACTGTTGTGACACAAGCCCATGATGCCTTTCACTGCACTAAGCTGCGCGTGCAACTGGAAAAATAAGGGACCATGGTTCTCCTTCTGTGGGAGAAATGAAGTTTGACACAATGGATTGGAGTCGCTTTGTTGACTTTGCTGGTCGCACACTGACATTTCCAGGGCCGATCATTCTTGGCAAAAAATCACCCTCAGTTCATTTTAACAGCTTGCCATTCGATTTTGGGTTGAAGCCTCCCTCCACGGTGGCAAAAAAGTAAGAGCTTGAACTGAAAATAGCCGGCCATTGCTGGCGTGATTCCCGAGTTCATGCGAAGATCCTAGACTGCTTTATTTCCACGGGTGTCGTTGCAGCTCCAACTGCACGCCCTCACTCCATAAGCGCCCGCTGTTCCTCAACAAACGCGTTTATCAGCCGCACCACGGAGCTATGATTCCCTGGCCCCGTATAGCTTTGAGATCGCATAAGTCATTTAAATAGCACACTCTCAACATAATCTATTAAGTCTGTCCTGTATTTGCACGTTCAGCCTATTTCAGACCATGCTTTTCTAAAAAGTTTTCGTTTTGTGAAAACGGGGAAAATTATAGCATGGCGATTACAGGGACCAGGTCATGATAACATCAACCATCCTGTTAATTCAAACAAACCAAATGACGAAAGAGGAATGCGTGTACATTCTCGAAATTTGCTCACAGAGCAAATACGTTCATTAAATAGGGTATCTCAACGATTTCACATACAAAACATAAAGTAACTTGAAAGAAACGAAGAGTATTCATAAGCCAAGCTGTACATATTAACAATGTAAATGAACTTCGCATAATTTACTCTTAACACCAAGTAAATATTATGTATGCACTTTCTACGGCATGTACATGTATATTCCATAGAGATGTACAAATAAGGGTTTTTAAATGAAAAACAAAGAGATTTCGTAATTGCCAGTTTCTAAAAAAAAATATAGCTCAAGCTATTTTCCAGTGTGGATGAACCTTAATGCAACACGTTCACCTATCTACCTGCCTCTTTCACTGTCATTGGAACATGATGCAACATATAATCATTAACTTCAGAGATGAGCCGATTCTACAGGAATAATGAATAATGCATGCTGAAGTTTCTTTCATTCAATAAATGCCGAGTCAAAGAATTGGGAATATTTATGGGTGTGCACAAAATGCCAGAAGTGCCAATACACAAACGACTTAAGATGAGGTGAGTAAATATTACATTCAGTGGAAATCAAAAGGAATGTCAATAGCCATCCTATTCGACTCCTTTGTATGATGTGCGCGATTCACAATACACGTCGCTACCAAGAGTTTGCCGCAGACAGGCCACTTTTCAAGCTTACGCTGCCACGATTTTAAGTGCACTAATGCACTTCGTAGGGATATTTGATTGATAGAAGCATTCCCTGCACCAAACAAAACCATCATTTTTACTACCTAACACCCATTCGCAATAAGCAATTTCGAATTTTTAACCAAGATAAACAAACATTCAGAAAAATTCAAGCTTTCCGCGCACAGCGCAGTCAGCAAATGAGACTATTTATCCCATTATGTACTGCGAAAAGGCCTCTCCATAACAACCTCTAGGTGGCGCACGGCATTGTGAATCGACCAATCTACCTTTATAAAAAGGATCGACCGATCTACAGTTGTAACACTTTCTTGAAACATACTTGGATCGATAGTAAAACCTGCATATTCATATCTTTTGTAAAAGCCTCACTTTTTAAGGTATAGATAACAGTTGGCTTCTGTTATGTGGTCCACGGTGTTTTGCCAAACTGAAGGGCCAACAATGCAGCCAAAGCACCATCAAAGTGACGATATGCCCTAAAATTTGTGAATAGGGTCGAGCAGGCAAGTCAAAATGAGCACAAAAATTACTTCTACATCTTAAAACGTCAAGAATGCCACATTCCAATCATAATACAATTCACAGTTGGTGGCTGGAGAAATTTGGAGTCTCTCGATTAGAAATTAGACACCACAATTAAAGTGATTAGCTTCGGTATAAACAGTGCACGCTGGCCAAAATCGAAGGACTGCAAGTTCGCATATCACTCGTGAACGCAACATATTTTGCTCATCTGGTTAACGACTGGTTTTTGCATTATTAACTAGCAGCACAAAATTTCCCGCTTAACGCCTCCATGAAACTGGGACGTACCACTAATTTTCAAAGCAACAAGATCTGGCGTCTTCAAGTGACCACAGCACTGAGAATTCAGGAGGAAAATTGGAAAATATGCACATGTACCGCAAAAAATGCATCTTTGGGCGCGAAAAAATATTCCACTATGAGGACCAATGCAAGTCCAGCTTCGTCAACTGCTTGAGCTCTGCGTTGTACGGTCTGTAAAAGTCGCGCAGCTTCCTGAGCGTGTCTTCGTGCACCCGCGGATGAGGGCGCCCTTTCGCTGGACACATGCAGTTGTTGGGGATGGGCTTGTTCAGACAGTAAAAGCCTTTCTGCACGTCGAAGTAGAAGTGGTCGCGCATAAAGTAATCCCTGATGCCCAGAAACTGTTCGACTTTCTTGACGGCCGGGTAGGGGTCGAGGATGAACGCCTCCCCGTCTATTGCGAGAATCTGTTCAGGTTTAAAGTAATCCAAGTATCTCTGTATATCCTTGACGTATACCCCTTTCGAGATGAGCTGACTTCGATCCTTGACACGTCCCTTGGAGTCGATGACGGACTCGTCAAACGTGCTGTTGATTTCGTAGCGGGTGAAGAAGTCACAATCCTTAGGCAGAGTGATATTGGTCAGCAGCGACGTCAGGGTTGAGGTTCCCAGTTTGTGGCAGCGCTTGGCAATCGTGACCTGCATGTGCACGTAGTCGGATACCGCTCGCTCCACCGGGTCTCGCATGATGATAATGAGTTTGACATCGGGCAGGACATTTGCGATCATTGCGGGGACCTTCGGGTAGTGAGAATAAGCCGGGGTTTTCTCCATGGAGATCTGATCCGGGGTGGAGTAGATCATTCTGCTCCGATAGTATTCCAACCCCTTCGCTCTCTCCTTCGAAGAGGTGAAGAACTTCAACTCTTCCTGAGTGAAGGCGATGTCGGGATGGTAGCTGAGGAAGTTTTTCAAGGTGGTGGTCCCGCCCTTTTTCACGCCGAAGATCATGGCGTCTGGAAGTCTCCTTTGGCAACCCCTTTCTCTGAGCTGCGATTCGTCAAGTACTTTTGTGATATCATTGTTAATAGTAGTGTAGCGATAGCAACACTTGGCACAAATGTCGTAATACACAGCTTCAGCTGTCGTTTGTGCTGGAATAAAAGTTTGCGTAGCCTGAGTGGAGACACTGACTTTTCGTCTAAAAGGTACTGTTCCGTTGTTTCTGTCTACGGACATTTTTGGATGATCAGGGAAAGATCCCTTAACAGGCACTGACTCTTTGAGTCCTGCAATATACTCAACTTTTCTTTGGATAGCTTGTTTAGTGACTATAGATGGCACACGTCTTGTTTCTAGGTTTATATCGCCCACTGTGGCATTAATTTTGTTCCTAGGCACTGATTTGATGTCGTTACCGACGCCCTCTGCTGCTGCACTCTGTTGAAACGGAGAGTTCGAAGTGCCACTCACTAGATCAGAAAACTCGGTTTCTGTCTTGGCGGCGCTCTCCGTCGGAAGGGTTTGCTCACTTTCACCATAGGTAGCGCCCTTGCCAGCAAGGACTGGAACAATTTTAAAGAAGTCATCATCATGATCATGACTGTCAAGAATATCTGACCTGACCTTGGCAAAGCCTCCGTCGCTGTGACCAGGTTGGTCTTGGATCCTCATCGGCGTGCTTATTTCCAGGTTTTCAGCACCAGACTGGTACCGGGCACCGGGATCGAGCCACCTGTGGAACTTGTACACGCCCGTCTGGTTTTGGCCTCCCAGTATGATAATGGCAAAGCACACCGCCAGTGCCACCAAGCAGAACGAGAAGACCCTCTTCCGTGACCAGCAGACACCCTTTTTGGTTGCTGCGCTGGTGCCATCCATTTTGTCTGGCTACTGCCTCTGAGCACAATCCTTTCCCACAGCGCCTGACCCACAAAATCTGTCCTCTGCACAAGTGAAGAGGACCAAATCACATGGCAATTACACAGCATTGAGCTCTGACCGCGTAGAAATCTGGGAGACAGATCTCAAATACTTTATTCATTCATGGACTATTCTTTGTGACTTCCAGTTCTCCTGTCCACTCACCAAGCAGGCGGCTCTTGCCTCGTGGACAGTCGGTTGATGTCCCTCCCCGTCAATAATTCGTTGTTCTCCAGCAAAGGGAACGATTCTCCAGCACTACACTGGCTTTTACTCCCCGGCTGCTTCGCTGAGCTCATTTTCCTGTATGATGTTTAGGGCGGGGCAAGGAAAGGATGAATGATAGCAAGGGAAATAAAAGAAATGGAAAGGTTGAAACAGGGTCAGGAGAGAGACAAGGAAAACATGTGATCTCAGTGAGTTATATGGCAGGACTGAGGTTTAAATGCGGTTCACTTTTTAGTTCAAAATTTCCCGGTTGTTGCCCCAAAATCCTTAAACCTATTAGTGTAGCGATGTGTGTTTGAATGCAGTGATTTTCAAACATTTGTCTTTGCGTCAACATTGTGCATTTCATATTTTCAATAATGGCAACTTTGGTACCTCACAGACTAATGGTCTCTACTACAAAAACTAAATGCAGATAAACCCTTGCAGAATAACGCGTTTTTTTTACGAAGAACCACAACTATTCCCTTCAAACTTTCCCATCAAATATTCCTATGATATATCACAAAGTCCAACTACGAAAATATATCCCAATCAACCACTCTTAAAAGTTGGGTAAGAAAATGTTTGGCACTTTACTCAAAACCGACGGTTGATAGTAATTTATCAAACTGATCACGATTAATACGAGTAATTATGAGAGTGACTGACCCTGGGGAGCACCGCGCACAAGCGCTGGTTGCTGGCCTTTTTTCAGCGTTTGGTAAGATTTTAGACAGTAGATTTCACTGTTTGTTAATTAAAAATAATAATATTTAACAATTTCGCATGTTTATCCATGTTTATGGAAATGAATGATGAGTGAGCTTGCACACGGTCAAGTGAAGCCAAACACCCAGCCCACTAACGTGGATCTGACAGAACAGTTTTCTTAAAACAACAAAGTTGTCTGGTCTTTTGAATTCGCTGCTGTCACAGATTCGAAAACACCGGTTTAAACACGCCTTACACGAATTTACCCCACGTGGCAAAACGCCGAAAACCCATTCCCTGAGTCTCAGAAAGTAGGCTTGCGCAGGAAAAAAAATTGCGAAGATGGAACTGATAATATCTGAGGAGTGCTTGAGGATTTAGATCCAAAAACACTGCCGTGTTCATTCAAACAGACGAACTTGGAGAGGAAACACTGAATGAAGCTTAGCATGCCCTAGCAAACCGCCTTTATTTCTTCGAGTGCTTCTTCGATGTTGTTTCGAGTGCCTCAAGCTCCTTCTGAAATGTCGTCGGCCGACAACCCGCCGACTTTCGACAGTGGGGTCTAAGTGTCGTTCGCGTATTTTTTTCAGTGGTGTACAGAGAATAACAAACGCATTTTCGAGACCCATCCTCACTGCCGAACACTGGAAAAAAGGAGGTAAACCTGGGCACCCAATTATAATAAACACGGGACCCCCCCCCGGCAACGACACGGGGCTAAAATCGAATTACTCCCCAAAACTGCCAATGGCAAGATACAGTAGTTGACGCAATGTAGCATTCACGCATAACGATGGTCTTTTTTGTGGTGAAGTTCATATTTCTCCTGGATATTACAAAATTTGGACTTCGCATCGGTCGCCACAATCACACGTATAAAATCTTTCCTGCGCATATGTTTCAGTTGAAATGTTGAAGGACTAATAAAATCAGCATGGTTTGCTTTTTAGGCACCAGTAACAAAGCAAGTAGGCCCTAAAAACACTACACTCTAAAAACGTCCGGGTCAGATTGACCCAGAATTGGGTCCCATGCGGTATAACCCTTTTCCGGGTCAAATTATGACCCAGAAAAGGTCAAATATGACCCGAAAAGAGATCATATTTTGACGCAGAAAAGGGTCATACCGAATGGGACCCGATTCTGGGTCAATCTGACCCGGAAAATTTTAGAGTGTACACTTTGGAAACTGAATGGATTTCTATGGATACTCTGCTCGCTTGTCTACTTTCCTGACCTGAGACATCACATCATCAAATAAAAGAAAGGGTATGACAGCAAAATATCAAAAATTCTATTAAGTATTAAATTGAACTACAACGGAGGAGTATTCCTTAAACGACATCACATGCAAATCGAATGATAGCTTAAAATCCAAAGGGCACCAAAGTGCCCTCAGAATGACAAAACTGTAACTATATAGGACACAAAGGTATGTTTACAAAGGCTCCTTTAAAACACATTTATTGCAAGGACCCCCTTCTCGCTGTGTTTGTGTTAATTGTTAATCAAGTCTTTAAGATGTGACCGTTTGATAAAAGATCGTTACCAGTATACCACAACAACTACCACAGATTTTACCCTTGGGTACAGCAAAGATTTGCTAGCATAACCATGACATGCCCCAACCCCAAAGACATCTTTTATCATAATTCCCGCCAGAATCAAACAACGTGCGCCTCGGCGCCGGGGCCAAAGGGCACGTGCGACGGCATTCCACTGGCGAAATACCAACGCTGAAGCGCAGCTGGGGTTTGATCGCTAAAGCCGATTCCCCGATGTCCCAGCGCTGCAGCTTGAATCCAAGGTCCATGCCAGCATTCCCGCTGGGAAATCGTCTTGAGTTATTGATGTGCGAAGCTCAGACGTTATTGCCACTGCAGACTTGAAACACGACTACGGCGGACAGGGCACCCAACGTAATTTACAACTGCCCTGCCAAAATACCAGTTGTCGTAATCGAAACATACCTTTTAATTTCGCAGAATTTTGCTCATTCATATTTGCAGTATTTGCCTTTGCTTTTTACCGCCAGTAATAAAGCCATCGTCCAACGAAACATAAGGACAAATTATGGATTCATCAAAAGAAGCCGTCACTCCGGTGGCATCGCACTCACGTGCACATTCTTCAGCTTGACGCACAATGCATTTGGCAAATCACGACACCCTACTGGTCAACGAGGCCAAGTAACGCGCGCGTGCCACCTGTCTACGAGCGTCGTGCCACCGTATTTACGGTTTCTACTTCTGGTTGTCGAATTACACAACTTTTCCTTCCTCCGTGGATCAATTTCCAGACACTTTGGAATTGCCAAGCACAGCTCAACCATTCACGTGTAGCCAGGGAAGGGATCGGTGGTTCAAACGCCCCCCCCCCCGTTCGCTGGGGGGTTTTATTTTGGTTTTTTGGTAACATAATATCTTCATACCGTGCAATGACCATCATGAAGTTGGGTTTGTCAGTATTTAAGTCGATGCAGTAATATCGTAGATGCGTTGCCTCCAAGTTTTTGCCTCTTTGGCGTTCCATATTATTATAAGCTTGCTGTTTGATCCATCCCTTGAGCTGAGAGAGATCGATCGCTTGGCGTGGTCACCGGCTCACCTGAAGCCGACATCATGCGTGCGAAAGGAAACTTGTGTTTTTATCGCTGGAAATAGAGATGAACAGAACTCTCAAGCTGTACTGACGGTGTACTGAGATAGACCACATGAGACGGACGATTCGGGCTATACCTACAGCATGCACAAAGGATACTGCCAGGTAAAATGTCACAGGTCACGATCTTTATACATCCTAACCATTTGGTCTAACCATGACCATCTGCGAAAGAAGGCAAACTAGAACTTCAACTGCTAAACACAATCCGATTGTACTTCTTTGGTAAATATATCAGGCAAGGGAGCAAAGCCTTGCAAGAATAAAGATGCAAGCTGGCATTTATCCACAATCCGGGCTCCATACATTTTCAGAATCCCGCAGTTGTATATGTTATACACAACACATGCATACGTGTTTATAAAATGCTTTTAAATCACATGCAATTTATAAGACCGATGATGGAAACGAAAGCAGTGGCTATAAAATGCACCAGATCACGGATTTATTTCTCTACGTTTCCTGTTCATGGTTGTCTTCACCACCATGAAAGCATGTTACTGATGTCTGACAGGCCCACATTTCACGAGTTGAATGACAAAATGCATATTTTTGTTTGATGTTTCGTTGCCGTTACTAGTAAATTGTCACACAAACGAATTCACTTTGGTGTTTCATTTCACAAGAAGCATGGACCAGCGTCTAGGTATCAAGAAGAATTGGAAAATATCCACTTCTGGTAATTCTGGTAAACAACTTCAAAGTGCGTTAAGGCGCTTAAAATTTCATCAACTTTGTTAGCTGCAAAATTCTAGCCATTTTACGGGTTTATTAGTTTTTAAAATGCGAAACTGCGAAAAAGACAAGAGTTCATCTTGTCAGATTATGTCAATGGACTCACTGTTATTCCTCCATCGTGCCTGTTTCTCGATTATCATTCTGTGGCGATTTTAAGAAGTGCTCCGCTCCCCCCTCTGTACTCGATTCCCCTACAAAGCAACATCCCACTACAAAGTTTATCACCCATTCTCCCGGCCTTGACGCAGCTCATTTGAAAGCTAACCGGGGAGAGAATTAGGGACTGCGATGAAAAGATTAACAGTCCAAAACGGGGTATTAACGCGCCCGGCCTGGTTAAAAACACTGGATTCGTTATCGATTAGGTATCAAACTAGAAGACAACCAGAAAGGAAATGTACCAAGCGCAGCATGCGCATGAGTAATAATATCGTCATCTATACTAGCTCATTTCGCACCCGAATTAGGTCTACCTTCACGGAGAAGGCAGAACGCTCTTAAAAGTGACACTGCCTCAGCGGTTTGGAAGTCGGCCTTGTTACGTGTATAATTTTATGAACTCTGTTGTCTTGGGTCACTCATGGTGAGTGATTGCTTTCAGTTTGAAGGTTACCAGTACCCCAGGCCCAGTGCAACTTGCAAGACCAACATGTAACGGCTGTGTCGAGTTTTCTGGCGACGTCGCACATTGCCACAAGCTGAGGTGCCGCGTGGGCTTTGAGGAAATGTCAGTTAGTTTCTAATGCAGTTTTCGTGGAATTTATGATTATGGCAGACGATTCATCTCGTATCCGCTGAAGCTGCTTGTTACGTCGACGAAAGACTTCTTTGGTGTCAAGAATTTACAAAGAGACTAATGGAGTCTGTGAGATCGCTTAGTTATCAACCAGACAAATCGCGAGAGAAACTTGCACGAGCGGTCTCACAATGAAATGGCTGCGCTTCATCGGTTTACCACGTCAACTATGGTTTCCGCAATGTTGACGGTTTACCAGACCGCAATGGGCGATAACTTGGACAAACACCCAAAAGCCCCAAGCAGCTGCAATGACGAACATCCGTGCGACCTTTCAGAGATCACGGGTCACATCCCATTCCTCTGAAATCCGAATTTGTTCATCTCGTAAACTAATTAAAAATTCCCGATACACAGGAGTATAGGTCAAAAATATTGATACCCTACAAATGTGTCAGATCGGCTTACAAAGTGTTTGGCAACAGAAACTTTGAAAATAATCGTTGTCGAGTTAAGAAGGGAGAATGATTATGATCCAAATTATTCAGTGATGAGAAGGGTTTAGGATCGTTGAGTTCAAATCAAAAATATCAATTAGTTCTGGCAAAATACCTGTATATACACACTTATGCTGAGATAAAAATGTCATTCAGTTCAAGTGCAGCAATGGCACTGCGTGTAAACTACAAATCGGTCAAATCCCCATAACATCAAGGACACGAGCATTTTAAGTACCCTTAATTATCATATTACAAGCTTAGGCGTACTCTACCTCTGATCGCGCCGCCACGGTCAATTGCCTTGATGTCCAATCAAGCTTCTACCTTATAACGGTATGCAGGGTGCAGAGCACTAATTCAAGCCCAATGAAGAGTGTAAAATCAACAATGTACATGTCCATGCACAGAGCTCAATATCACACCAGTCGGCATTACAGGAGTTTCTTCAAAAAAACTTTAAATTATTGTCTTAGCCTTAATCTTTCCATTTCTTTTCTACTTTCAATTATTCACGCAAAGCAAACTCACCCCTAAAAAGTGCTAGTTCCCTCACCAGCCCGCAGTCATTTTTAAATGACATCAGTCTACTCTCTCAGGCACTGAGCACCATTTTTCAACCATAATTTTATCAACTCGGGTGGATCATGGAAGCCCCTGAAACCAAGGAGTTGAGCCTGGCCTGCATTTCCACAATCCCTCTATTTTCTTCGGCCAAACAATCTCCATTTTCAAAAGAAAATGTGGGGCACTTTTCATGCTTAAGAGCTTGGGAAGGAATTACCACCTGAATTAGTGTACTACAATCATAAACGGAATCTGCAATCAATTTTGTGTATTAGTAAACCTTAGTTTCAACTTTGGTTTCACTATTTCAAAGGGTATTTTAATGCCTTTTGGGGTTTTATGCTCATGAGCATTTCCATATTCATGAGCGAAACTGTGATGTCATCTCGGAAGAAACCTTTTGTACACAAAAAAGTCCTGCATTTTTGTAGATTTTCCTGGACTAAGTTTTTTTTTTAATTCTTTGCTGATTCTTTGTTGTTTATTTGCAAAACAATAAGAAAACATCAACCCCTCTCCCAGAAATATTTTCAGTTAGTAAATTAAATCTGGGTTCACAATTTGAACAGAAATACCTATTCACTGAACCATGTCTTCCTTCATTGACTTCACAGCATCAGCGCCCTCTGTTGTTCGGGAAAACATTGATAATTTTGATTGTTTAAACGAGTGCACTTTTCAATGCACTTAAGCAGACAGGAGTATAGAAGAGTTTTCATACACTGAAGAAAAGTACAAAGGTGCAGAAACAATTTGTCGAAGAAAAATTCATTGCAGCTACACTTTAACGCTTAAGAACTCCACGTGTGCATCCGTAGGTTACTTTAACAATAGTTAATGACCCCTTCTGAATCATTTTGACCCTTTTCAAGGTCATTTTGATTGGGAACCTTAATCCGAAGGCTTTCCTGATGTATTACTCAGGATCACCATGCTAGAACTCACTGTAGGGTATTATGCACTGGTGAGGTGGGTATTACGACATTAAATTCAAGTCGGTATCCATTTTCACAAAACACCATCAAAGACAATTGAGAACGGTTCAAAAGGAGAATATTTGCAGCACTTTTTAACAGAAAAAAGCTCAAGAAGACAGACCATTTAATAAAAGCTTTAATTACAAATGATTTTTCAAAATACCAATCTACAAAGACTTGTAAACGCAAAAGATTTCATTTCCAGCTACAGTACAAAAACTGTGGTGCTAAATTAGTGTTAACGTAACACTCTCGGTACTCCTAGAGAGGCTCACACCGGATTGGTGTCATCACATATGCACACCGACAGTGCTAAATTTACACCACAGGGTTTGCTGTTATAACATCAATTTCATTCAAAGGAACAGTACCTCAAGGTAGTACATTATTGCACACTACAGCTTTAAAGTATTCATTACACAGTATTAAGTTGATGTCCATCTCCAAGAGATTAAATATATCTACATGTACATGCATTTCACACAGTAAGAGTGTCACACTGACAGGGTCAGACAAAATACATTTATTCGTGTTAACCTGACACACTCAGCAAGACAAGTTGAACAGAAAGACTACTGCATGAATCTGGACCAGACAGTACTGGTAAATGTTCCTTTGAACCATTCGTGTATAGCCTACGAAGACACATCCTCGATGTTAACGTGGGTGCTCCATCCAACCTGGTTTATACTGCATCCCTGGAATAGACTTTTTGACAATTAGACGAAATCATTTTTAGACAAGGGCATGGACCATGTTGGCGGCCCAGGATCCAGCCCTAAAAAGTTGCATAACACGCCAACTGGTGAACACCCTAGCTTGAAATCGTGCCAAACTGGACTCAGATGTGATTTAGAACAGGCCGAACCATTAGGCGGATTCACGGCATGTTTGCACGGTTTTGTCGACCCTTCTTTTCATGCCTCTCCTGGCTGTAGAAATACCTTCCAAATGACCTTTAACCCAAGAGAGTCATTATATTAAGTATCCCTCTGCAGGACGAATAACATGTACTTCCTTTTAATAAACTGGCCCAATTTCAAGGCAATCAGCAAACTTTTCTAGGCCATGATAAACGCTTTCGACTGCAAATAAAACCAATAGATTTTTTCACCATCGTGCGTCGAAAACTTAAACATTTCGTGACAACTACGGATTAGACTTTCAACAAAAGGACCCAAAACACGTTCCAAATATCGTTCTACAAGTTCAGAACGGTTTTGCAGTAAACAATGTAAGCGGACAGACAGTAATGTCTGGAACATGTACTGTTTGGGCCCCGTTTATAAAACTTCAGTGGTGTAGTATCACATCTGAGTCCAGTTTGGCACGATTTCAAGTCAGTTCTTAGTAGTCGTTGCTTCATGCTCAGGGGACTCTACTGCAGCACACAACTGGGAAAAAAAACAAGTTCCAACTATGAAGGCTCGATACCTCCCATCGATATGGGGGGGAAATGCATTTGGAACGAAGATCACTCTTTCAAAGGTCGATTACCGCTTAGAAAGACTGGCAAATGTGACCAAACCTTGACAAGACTTCGTTGAAACACGTACGTGTATAATCTATGGGGCTGGATTTCCGTCTACATGTCCAACAGCAACAACACCCTTTGCACAAAATATTCTATTTCTATAAATGAAACAGACCCCCAATTTCACCTAGTATCATGACGATTCTTCCAGTATGTTTTTCCCCTGAGGGTATGGTCAAATATACCGAGAATGGTCTTTGTAAAATTGTAAGTTTGTTTTACCGTATCGACGCACGATCGACTTGATCTTAAGGGGAGTCGAAGGATTTTCTTTTGTAGCACTATCAGCGATCTTTTCTACAGGTTAAGCTTCTTGGGAGTGACCAGGATGATTACGATCAATCATCTATCATTCAGGCTCTAACCACTATCCCAGACATGCCAGAATTTCAAAACTATTCGGTATATTTTTACTATCCATACTGCAGTTGATGACGAGAGTACCATGTGTGTGACCTTTAAATGTTGTGCTGGCAACAGCGCGTTTATTCTGCTAGCAGTTCAGAAGATTATCAAGAAAAAGCACTAAAATTCACTTTCCCTACCTTGAGCTGTCCGTGAGTGCGTCCCTCTTCGTGCCATGTGTTGCTTATTGGCTCAACGGTAGACTACTTAACCGCATACCAAGCACAATGAAAGTACAATTACTAATTAGGTTCACAGTACTTTGCTCAATCATGCCAATAAGGCGCGTGAAACGTTGAACACTGCTTTCGAAGCTTTAGACCTAGCACGACCGTCCCCGACTTTCTGTCGTGCGCTGTGCAAAACGCCTAAGACAATGGCCACGTTGAACACGAAGCACGAACATCACTAGTCCTGATCCGAAACTAAAAACCATGGCCCGAAAACCCCTGCACTGAAACGCTGACCTGCACGGGAAAGCGCGTAGCCATTTTGGAACCAGAGACCGGGCTCTTAGTCACACTATCAGCTATCAAATCTTGGTCAAATAACTTCAAGCTAGGGAACTATTCCAGAGTGCTGTGTACACACAACTCACGATCCCAACTCGATGCGTGGTACGTTGAAGGTCACGCGGCGTCAAAGCGTCCGGCTTGCGGTGTGTCTTTAAAGGGATCCTGGGTGTGCTCCAAATGGCTCATGATACTATTTTGAGAGGTTACCCAGAACATCTGCAGAAGGCTAAGTGCCCTTAATATACGCCCACAATCTCACACACGTCGTCATGAATGTAGCCTACGTTGCTTGTTGTTTGTCATAGGACCAGCTCGACTACTCCTTTAACCTTGTGCTTCCGCCCATGATTCAGTGCGGCTGATCAATAACTTCCGGAGCAAAGCACAGCAAACATTGACTCGACGCCAACTATTGAATGAATCGCATTTCAAACAAAATAAACCGAAAAATGGAAGGGAATCAGAATCCATTTGACGTTTTCATTGAAAGACCAACTTCACACAATGCGAAAATTTACTTGAATTTGTTGAGCATAAAGCGTGTCGTGCGATCGAGTACCATGGACGTACATGTAAATGTACATACATGTACATATACGCATGTACATCGGCTGTCCATGGTCACAGGTTAATGTACTGTACATGTATACTCCCTCATTTCAGATGCATTTTTGAAACCTTTTTGCATTTAAATAACTTCATTATTATTCATGAAGTTTGAAACCAATCATTTCAAGTATCCTTCGCGGACCCCGCGACACACATCATTCTAGCTAGCCGTGGTCAGAGAAGCATCTAATATACTATTCCTTATTCGGATATTTAAGATAATTCATCATTTTCTACTATTACAGAGATATCTTTATCCATTATTTTGATCCTATATTTTGAAATCAATTGTTTCAAGAACTATTTACCTTTAATTTCTTGAATTTTTACATGTTTAATGCACAAGTGTCCTAAAACTTCCAAGATGGCGGCCTTAAAACCTGCTCCTTGTAAGGAGCAGGTTGGCAGAAAATTGCCACTGCCGCTATTTCAATTTGTATAATTTTTACTCTTTCAATTGCTAGCCGTGGTCATGGAAGCATCTTATCGATATTGTTCCTTTTCCCGCACTCATCACAGAATAAAAACACCATTAGATCAACAAAGTTCGCCGAGTCCTTTTTGCCTATTTTATTGACTCTAAGACATCAAGGGCCACATATAAAATAGTCCATGCGAAATTTCTCACTCTTTTAAAATTTTTCATTGCTTTTCAGTCTACTTCAAAACAGTAACAGGGGTATTAGCTTGACAGATCTGAGGAAACATTACTTTGGAGGAAGATGAGTTGACTTCTGTAAACTTTAAACTCTCGCCGTCATGTTCACTACCATTTAGTGGGCCCGGTATGCTGAAAATACACTTTACAGACATGATACCTGTAGATTAAATGCACGAAGTCCGACGGTGGTTCGGGTGTGCTTATCCACATCCAACAGTTTTATCAGTCACTCTGAGAGTTTGGAGAAACGCGTCGGAAAGAGATTGATATTAGCCTGGAGGTTGGCAAAACATTGCTTTATATAAGAAAAGTATGAGCGGTAAGATCTGGCGGCAACTTTTTTTTGTCTGTCTGCAATTCACATTTTTCTGACAAACTTTGGTCCACATAACTCTACCATCGTATCGAATATTTCAGCGTGAGAGGATAAGGACTATCTCGAGAGAAAAGAATCACATCTGTTCAATCCTTAACTAGTTAGATAGATTCTTGCAACTGCTCCATCCACCATCAACATTCCAAGCAGCTTCCCCAGCGGGCCCTGATTCCTGTCATATCTCACGTATCTAGCTGTCAATTAACCTTAATTATCTTCAGGTAAGCCTACAAAGTGCCGTAAACTTGTAACAGTCCGTCGACAATCCAGTTCGTGACTCCGTGTCTATGGTTATACACGCACACGTACAACTGATAACTAGTCGGGTTCCCTGACCTGAATCCTCATATGCAGCAAAGTATAAGCTCGGAGAGAACCCCCCCCCCCCTGCTTTGTGTTGGCCATTGTCTCGCAGGAATCTGGGGAATTCCTTTCAGACATCTTGGGGGATGTGTTAAGTAACAATAGTCTGGAATGTGTATAGGGATTGGACATGTTGGGGGGGAACCTTCGGTCTCACTTCTTGCTGGGTAAGCTCTATGGTATAACCGAACCCTTGCAATCGAAAGTGAGTGGTCAAGTCTGGGAACCAGACTACACTGATTACAAGCTCCCGTTGGAGAAACACTCACGTTTGCGCGTTCATTAGCCTTTTGCGAGTTGGATTTGAATAAAATCTGGTACACTGAGTTATCTGATTAGACGCACACATAAAATATAAAAAAAAAAACTGAATTCTGCGGATTAAAGACACTGTTAGTATACATCGTGATTCGGGCTATTTTTTTTCCCTAAGCGACCACCATTTCTGGAATGGACTGGTTCCTTTGTGCTCTTCCTATCCATTGAAAATAGTGTATTGTGCAAGGTGTCTTTATGTATGTAGGCCTAACTATAAGCAAAAACTTTCCCAAAACAACGAGGTATAGCAACAGTGTCTTCAGTATGGAGAAATCAAATTGTTATGTTCACGTGAGTTTGAAGAACTCTGTGTACCAGATTTTATTCAGATTTAACTCGCAAAAGGCTTATTCTGGTTTCATTGTTCCATGCATAGTAACTCCACGTGGAATGGGCACGGCTTGAAAAGAAGTGACGTCACGGTTATGAACTGGAAAGAGCAGGGAGCCATTTAGGACCAAAGTCTTGCCCTGTACACAAGTAACGCATGAAATGCCTAATTTTCGCGAAATATAGCAGATAATATAGCTGAGAACTTCCATAAAAATAAAGTTCAGAAGATAATATGGTCCTCTGTTTAAATAATCCCTTATATCTAAAATAGAGTTTATCCCAATCAGTTAGCACCTTTTTGTCAGAGAATAAGACTTTATGATAATCCATTCCGTTCCCCATAGTTCTCCAAAGCTCGAGCGATAAGACTCCCTATAAAAAATATGAAGATTATAGGCTCATATTCTAACCCCTGACTCGGGTATCCATGTTAAGTTCGTTCAGTTTCGATTACTGATCACTGACAAAGCAAACGCTCGTACACCTAATGGTGGTGATGGAATGACGTCACTCTTTTATCCTTAAACGGTAGAATTAAGTAACACTTGATACCGTGCTCAAACGCCACGAGCTGTCATGCCTGCAGACACGTGCTTGCACAATACCTTACTACGTGGACTCGTACTCGATCGAATTCGAGGCTCGAGTAGTCAGACTGGTGTTACGAAATCCTGTAAGTAACTGTTACCCTGTGTAAATTATGTAGTGGGGTCAACTGTCTTTTGCAGAAACAACTGTAACTATGAATAGCCAAAAAAAAGAAAAAGAAAATGTACCGCTACGGTAGCAACTGATACGAAATTCTGGCCAATCTTGGCTTTGAAATGCAGGTATATATGCAGTTGCAGAAAAACTGAGCTCTCTATGGAAATGACCCGTCATTTTCGTTCATGAATATGCAAATAATAAGAGAAGTCTTAAAGAACCCCAAAGCACCAAAATGCCATCAAAATGGCCGGCAAAATGAAGTTTGAAAAGGAGGACTGCATCCAAATAAAAGGAACATTTACACGCACATGCCCAGTAAGCTTCACGAATGAGTGGATCAACTTCGGGGCTCTGACAAAGACTCTAGATTTTGTAGAAGAATTCAAGCAGAGCTGTCGATACATTATTAGGTGTTTTTGAATGCCACCCATGGAACATTTGAGGTGACTTTTTCATAAACGCACTTGTCTGCGCACGCCTAAAAACTATTCATTTTCCTTTCAAGATATAGACTATTGAAAAATGTGTTTTCTATATATCTTAGAAACAAAAACTTACAGTAATTTCATCAATTGAATCATGAAGGTGCATTTTTCAAAGACTGCAAAAAAAATGTGATACATAACATTGCCCTTTAAATATAGAAAGAATTGCCTGGCAGTCGGAACATGCAGTCCTCGCTTTTAATGCAGTGAACACGATGTAATTGCCTTTGGCATAACAAATCACCGAAGAATGTCGTAAGTAACAAGTTTATGCCACAAGGCAAATCCGCATTATTATACTCTGACAAGTTCGGCAACAGCTGCACAAGCAGTCATGTTTATTGGGGCATTTGTAGATATGATGACACATAACTTAGCTGGAACGGTGAAATCCACTCCGCGCACACCGCGGCCCTCAAGCGACCACAAACTCCTATTTCCCGGCCCTGACTTATTGTTGAAAAACGTGTTTCCCCTTAAAGGTGCAGATCAGTAAATCGGTTGCCATAGACAACAGTGATAAATATCCCCACTTCAACAAAATTCATGAAAAATACTCACAAGTTTCACAGGTGTTCAAGACACATATCAAATTCAAGCTCACTTCCTTATCTTTCATTTTCCTTTCAAATTTTCAGTGGCTTAACCGATGACTTTTGAAGATATTTCTCTCCAGAGAAAATCACCCCTCAAAACAGTCAGGAGGCCCATCGCCATTTTGGAAATTGATGCCTACACTCTATGGCAAAATAGAGCAATTTGGAGGGCCCCGTTTGGTCTGATGATTTCAGAAATACAAGCTGACAGTCCTGCCCCTGCATTACATCCACCTTTTTAACAAACCACCCTGTCCACGTGCCACGAAAGGCTCTAATAGTAGAGAATTTGACAGTGTACAAAACGTGATTTGGTCCGCGCAGGCAATTTGGACCTATTCACTGGCCTGCAACCTTAAGTGTTTCCTAGTAGCTGAAAAAATGGCTGAACCGATTGGAAAGCGTTGTATTTGGGGTAGGGGTGTTTGGATACCATCATACAAGTCATACCGACACAACCAAGGTGAATCAGCACTAGTATTTTGACTGAATGTGTCACTACGTGTAAACTCCACTGTGAACATCTATGCAGCGGAATGAACTCAACTTGCTTTTGACACAGTTCAACAGTGTTACTTTTACAATATTTTTATAAACAAGATATAAATACGCGTTTTCATGAAAACAAGAAATTGGTGGTCCTTTTTCCATTCTTAGGAAATCCTTTCATCACTAAATTTTAGAGAGCGCTCTGTTCGTTTTGTCACACAAGGCTTGTCAAAACGGCACAAGAGAAACAAAACCTTTTCCTTCACAATTACTCCTAACAACGTACTGAAGTGGGTCAATACTATT